AAAAAAAAAAAACATCAACATCTTGTTTCAGGGAAAATGCAAAAGCCGCTACCCGATCTTCTCAAGGAGTACGACCTGCCAGTTGGTATATTCCCTCGTGATGCGACCAATTATGAGTTCAATGAGGAGACCCGAAAGCTAACTGTTTACATCCCATCCGTGTGTGAAGTGGGCTACAGGGACTCATCTGTGTTGCGTTTTTCCACGACCGTGACTTGTTATCTGGAGAAAGGTAAACTGGCGGACATAGAGGGAATCAAGACAAAGGTGATTGTTTGGGTGAAAGTGACCTGTATTTCTTCGGAGAAGTCGAAGGTCCATTTCACGGCTGGAATGAAGAAATCGAGAAACAGGGATGCTTATGAGGTTTTCAGAGATGGGTTTACAGTAGACAAGTTTTAAAATATTAAATGGGCGGCTCCGCTTCAGTGTGATGATATCTTTGTTTAACCTTGACATGTATGAAATGTACTGTACCCCTTTTGATTCTTCATGTGCTTGGATGTTGAAATAATGATACTTTGTTCAATGTGGTAAATAATTAGTTTTGTGAAACTGGAAATCTGGTGCATGCTTGTGAGTGATGGATTGTTAGTAGTTTATTAACAATGTTAACAAGAGAAGTTGAGAAAAATCGTAATGGGACTATAAACAGCAGTAAACAATGTAAAATGAGTGTAGGATGAGAATTCTATGGAGCCATCCATAAGTTTATGATTGACACGTGTCCAATATACATTTATTGCAGGACATGTGTTAATACACTATTTCTGGATAACTATGGATGACTCCATACCCGAACTATCTGATAGCTCTATAGCAAAACCATGCGTTCTTGAATGGAGAAGTGAGATTAGCACCATAAATAGCAAGATTTTTTCATGAAATTAACGTGGATGCTCGCTCTAATCACTCTATAGAGTTGGCTCAAAATGACTGGGTGAGAGCATTTTGTTGGGTCTTATAACGAGAACCTAAGTATTATCAAGGTCTCTGATGAATCAAACCAAACCACTCAGAGTTATTTGTAGTTAAACTTGATCAAAACTTGCTTAAGCACAGTTGTGTGAGGCTTTTAAGAAATCAATGAATCAAAATCAAACTTGAATGATGTTCGACCGGTGCGTTATTTCGTGCTATACCTATAAACCTATATATAGCGATGATTGGTTTAAATTTTCACTATTTATGCTCAAAACTCGGACTCAAATGCAAAATGTGAAAAATGTTCAAACTTCAAATTACAAAATTTGTCAAATTTCGAAAAAATAACTTTTTTTTTTTTTGTCAAATTTCGAACATTCTAGAATTTGTCCCGTCTTGGTTAATATAATTGCTGCTTGCAATTTTTTACATTGCTAGCATGATGGAAAAAGGGCAGGAATGTAATAAAAAAATTAATGCACCAGCCGGGAATCGAACCCGGGTCTGTACCGTGGCAGGGTACTATTCTACCACTAGACCACTGGTGCTATTTGTTATTTGTTTATTCTTTTATCAATGGTTACTTTCACATGAATGCAATCTGATATACTACATTATCAGGACGCCACATTACTACATTAGGAGTATAAAGTAAAAGTTTATGATTGGAAAAATCTAAGCATCGCGTGTTTTTATCATAGAAAAATAATTTCATTTTTAAGTTCTCTATTTTCATATAGTAGTGCGTATCCCGTGCGATACACGGGTAAACAATATTAAATAATAATTATAAATAGGTCTCGAATTCGAGTCACCTAATGAAAGAAATGGAAAACCATTATTTCTTAAAAGAGATAGTGTAAATTAAAGATGAGGGTGAACAAATTAAAAATTGAGGGTTTGATGTGATATACTTTACCGTATATCAATTTATTAACAATCTAAAATCTATATAAATATAAAAAGGTTTGGTATTTACCTGAAAAAGTAACTATTTTCTCGCCTAAAATTTTTAATATTGCTAATCTAGGTAATTTTTTTGAAAACTCCCGCCAATAATGCTTTAATTTCGAATTTCAATTTTTTTTTTTTTTTGATTTATTTTAAGATAATTTTAATGGATTATGGAAACATATTTGTCTACTAATTTTAATATAGGTAAAAATCTTCTCTTAATATATATCGACATGATTACAATTAAAATCCACAACCTTCCATATTAATAATAATTTTTAGTACAGTCAATGATTTGGGAATACAATAAATCAAATACATGTCTATGATCTTCACACTTCCCATATGAAAACTAAAAGAGTAAGTGATCGTGGCTGCGATCATGGAGAGCAAGAGCTCTGCAGGAGCGACGTTGTCACCGCCAAGTTGCAGCCTGAATTGCGGAGAGGATGAGTCGATGTTATAAATTTGACGGTGTTTTCGACAGAATGCCGAGTTTATGAAGAGAAAAAACTCGATTGCCAGATAAAGGGAGTCGAAACTTCGGCGATTGGGGGGCCGAGCTCGCTCCAAGAAGTTACTTTAACAGCTAAATGAAATATTTTTCAGTGTCTTTTGTTGCATTTCTTTAGCTTTTAATTAGGTTACTTCAATTTCTTCATATCGTTTCGAAAAAAAATAATAAAATTAGGTTACTTCAATTTCAATTAGTTGCTAAACCTCTATTTTAATTTTTGCAGCTGCCGTGCGAAAGGAAATATCTGATAAAACTGATAGAGAGACAGGGCGTACTAAGCAAATTTCGAATAGTGAGTGAAAAATTGATCTTGAGGCCATTTTAATTTTACTGTTAAAGTCTGTGGTTTCAAATTTGGGTGTCAACTGAATATTAAATGAGTGTGATGCAACTTCATGTCCTCTTTTGGGTGTCAACTGAATATTACAAAGACCTTTCTGTTTTTATTATACTACAGTCAAGTTTTTGTGCCCATTTCTCTCTGTGTGTATGGGAAGCATATTACTCCTGGTTTTTGTGAATGATCATCGTTTACAAAGGCTGAAATTTACGGTGTGAGGCTGCAATTTGCCCAGCCTAGGGTCAACAGAGATTGGAAGCCTAAGCGGCCAGAACTCTGACCGAAGTGGCTACACGAGGCGGTTCGCGGCCAGGCTCCGTCTAGAGGGGTCATTGACGGTGGTAGGACTGGTGAGCGGCTTGACGCCACCGGACAAACTGAACGGGACATGGCGGTTGGTGCTCTTGGACGGCAGAGAGTTGCGCCCCGGCTGAACGCTGGTCGGGCTGTGCCTAGGGGATGTTGTTTGGCAGGAGAAATTTGCTGCGTGGTCGGAATTTTCTCAACGAAGAAGACGATGTGCTTCTGCTCAGATTTTTTCATGAGAAGACACGGAACAATTTTTTGTGAAAACAATGTAAGTGAGAAGACAGGCGGAGTTTCTAAGCGCTGGACATGG